TACGTAGCAATATGGAGGTAAGTGTTTTTTTTTTTTTTTCCCTGCTTAAGTTTATACTGTAACAAATAAAGCACAGGGAAGCTCCATTTTGCGCGCATTTTTTCCCCTTTCGTAGCTGGAGTGAACCTCCCGGGGGTTGCTTTTTAAAATATGTGACATGGAGGAGAGGGCATGTGAGGACACAAGTCTAGCCTCACGTGATTACCCTGTTGCCACACGACTGACTCTATTTTTGTGCGACAAGTCCATGGTATCAACAATTGTAGTTCGTTGCGTTCAGCTCGACGATGACATGCCTGTTGGTCTCCTGCAGCGGCAGCAGAGAGGAAGGGGACGCGAGCAGGGGAGAGAAAAGAACAGCTCGTCTCTGCGTGTGTGGAAGCGGTTGCTGAAGTGAAGCGTGGCGCAGACATAGCCCGACGCAAACGCAGCGCAGACGTGCAACGCCCAGCTCCCCTCCGTGAAGCAAACCCAAAAAAATGAGGAAAAAGTACAGCGTCCTGGATGATGAAGACCACATCGGCGATTACAACGAAGGGGTAAGGTATAGAGAATATAAAAAGAGCATTCGTAACATACAAATAAATTTTGAGCAGTCACTTAGTGAAGTTAAGGAAAACATAAACAGCTACGAAAATGACAGGCTGAAAAGGAGTCCACACGCAGAGTGCCCTCCAGAATTTTTTCCCCACAATAAAAAAAAAATAAACGAATTGGAAAATTTGTACAAAAGTGGAATACAAACTCTTGAAATACTGAAAAATAATTTTAGCCAAAATAAAACATACGTTTTAGAAATTTCGAGATATCTGAGCATTTTTGAAAAATTAAAAATTCAGTTACAGAGTCTTAAAAATATGTTTGATAAAATGTGTGCACAAAACAGGATTAATTTTTACCCACAAAAGGATTCTGCATCTGTGGTTTATAAACATAATGAAATAAACCACGTTATTAAGGAGAGGAGTGCTTTGCAGCATTCGATCAGCGAGCTGGACAATATGATTTCCATTGGGCAAGAAACCAACTGGAAGCTCAAGTTACAAAATTATACCATCACACAGCAAATGAAAAAAATTCACTTCCTAAATGAACAGCTACCAAAAATACAAAAAATTATAAAAAATATTAGGTACTATACTACCAAGCGCACAGTTATCCTCGCCATTACTATTGCCTCTTTCATTTTCCTTTTTTTTATGTTAAGGTAGATTTGGTGAGGGTCCTTGTTGCATCCGTATGTTGGCAGCACCCGATGAACAGCAACGCTTGGGTGAGCACTACACCTTCAGCAGCTGGGCCTATTGCCCTTGATCACGTACATATGTATGTATATATATGTGTATGTATTTTTTTTTGTGTGTATTTTCATTTAAGTGACATTTTATAATTTAAAACGATGTGGAGGAGGGGTCGTCTTCCCCCCCCCCTGCTCAGTTATCTCAAAAACAGGGGGAAAACAAAAAAATCGTCCCCAATGGGGCACCAATATAAACGAAGCGCGCTTCCCCGTGTGGGTGACATCAACCATTGCTCGGTTTATACAAAATTGTTTCCTTCGTGTGGACGCAGAAGCTGTGCTTGTTGGGGCTGTGCAGTTCTATCTCAAGCGCATTACAATGTTTGTTCTTCTTATTTACCTCAACGTTTAAGTGAACTGACTTGAAGGTTCCATCGTGCGCAACGAGGTAGTTTGGATACGGCTGTCCGTTGTTCATGAAAAGGCTCATCCCAGTGTCGATGAGAAAAATACCCCCATTACAGTAGGAGTTAATTTCATGTGTCATTTGTCTGGTGTGTCCTACGACTAAATGTTTAGCCTTGTAGTTGTTAAAAACGTGAGACAAAATTGAGCAAGCTTTCTGCTCATCATACGGAGCTGTGCGTGAAATTGTGTCATTCCAAAGAACTCCCTGGGGACTTACGTAGTTAATCGATTTGTCATATGTGAGAACTCTGCACAGATTTTCAATTTGTAATCTTGTCTTTAAGCGTATGGTGTTTAAGCTAAGTGAAGAAATCTGTTTACTTATTCCCGCATGAACAAATAAAATGTTATTCACTTTAGCAATTGCTGGTAGCCGAATTAACCTTTTGTAATACTTGCCTGTATTTAACACAAATTGAAACATCCTGTAATTAAAATTATTTTTAAAAAATACCTCCACTTCTTTCTTATTTACATAATCAAAATATCCACACATATTTAATTGTTCATGATTTCCCATGATTAACAGGACTTTGCTTTTTTTCAAAGGTGCTTCCTTTTGTAATTTAAATAGAAAGTCATATATTAATGGACCATAAATGCCTCTGTCTAGTACATCTCCCACCTGAACAAGCAATACATTTTCTGCAACCCATTCATCATTTTCGTTTATCAAATTTGCATGTCGTAGAATCAACTTTAAACTTTCTATGTCTCCGTGAATATCTCCTATGGCGATTATTTTCCCCTCCCATTTTAGGTTGTCATATTTTTGCAAGTAGGAAGGGTCCATTTTTGTCTTGTCCATTGCTAATGCTTTTAGGAGGAAGTCGTCCTTCGCGTGATGGCCGCTGGGTACTTTTGCAGATACGCCAGGAATGAGCGGCGGGGCCAGCATCATCATCAGTAGCAGAAGCCGCAACATGCGCGACATGCGCAACGCGCCCATTTTTAGTCCCCCACCCATCTTTTACTTATGTGTACTCGCATCAGTAGTGGGGTATATGTATGGTTGCTCAAGTGGGATGACTGTCCTGCATGCACACGGTAATGGCGCTTCGTGGTGATGGGGGGGGGGAGAAGCATAAAAAAAAAAAAAAAAAAAAAAATGGTAGACCGTCACAACTACCCGCTGGCAAAATAAAAGTTCGTCACGGAAAAGGAGCTAATCGATATGGGATTTCGCAACATGGGAGGCTGACAAATAACAGCTGGACAGAAAAAACGACAACACTCCCTTTTTTTTTTTTTTACAAAACTGTACACCGGTGTGTAATCCCAAATAGACTTAAAAATATAACATATGGGAAAAGTAGCTCACCAAAGATAATTAAACGTCGTGTAACTGTTTTTGCTGTACATCTTTGCCTCTATTTTTTGCCTCCACTGTTGCAGTTTGCAATTTTCCACACCTTTGTCAACGCGGGTTTTTCCGCCCACTGCGCAGATTGCACAGTGCGGTGCGTTTGTGCGGCAGCGGAAAAAAAGTGAAAAATGGGAAATAAAAAAAAAAAGGAAAAGAAAACAAAAACAAAAAAGAAGGAAAAAGAAGGGAAAAAAAAAAAAAAAGTAAGAATAAACAAAGATGCAATTTTTTAAAAAATACTCTAAAGTAGGCGGCAGGGTTGGGGTGAAAATTCACTTGGTGAACTCCCCGCAGCGTCACCATTTGGGCGAGCGAAAAAAAACAGTACACCGCAGAGGTCCCTTCGTGCTTGCACTTGTACAAGAGTATCGCGGGTTAGCAGCGCGCCCACATGTATTTAAAAAAATAACACAGCGTCATATAAACATATATGAACCTTGGTTGACATACTTTTTGTACCAACTTGCGTGCGTGTATATGTGTGTCCCTTTTTTTGTGTCCGCACGGTTGGGCTATGCGGAGGTGTAAACTGTACGCGTGCGCGGAAAGTTCTTCCTCAATTTGCAAAATTGGCCCCCAATTTGGTGCCTCACATTTGGCCCATTTAATTAATGTTCCCTTGCATAAAACAAATGGAACACACGCACAGCCGGGGAGGCTCCTACACATCCCTTCCCCACATGTGCCTTTGCACAGAACGGATGCTAACAAAACGGTCAAATGGGGTTTAAACTAGGTTTTGCATATGGGTTAAAATTTAAAAAAAAAAAAAAAAAAAAAAACTAGGAAAAAAAAGAAAACTACGAAAAAAAAAAATCGTCGGTAAGGACGTGAAGCAGCCTCCACGGGGAAGCGTTCCTTCCTCATAAAAAAGTAATCTTCAAATTTGTACACAATGTTCCGTTTGTAAATGTGCAGGGGGGAGGGTTGCCGATGCTGTCTAACCCGCATGGTCACATCGACTCGATGAAATATACGAAACTGCACTCCCTCATGGGTATCCACCGTAGCACATTTACCCATAAGACAATCTGACATAGCCCGTTTGCTCCCTCTTGAAGGAGTTACATCGGAGGAGCTTCGCATTTTCCCCTCAAGGAAAGGCGCAAAGACCCACCACCACCACCCCGTCTAAAACCTCTCCTTCATTCTCTTCGCGAGGATATTAAGTTTGTTAAAAATTTTACCTTGCGTTGAACCAAGAATTAAACTACAGATGGAGTATCTGGCCATTTTGATATTGTTGAAGCTACCCAAGATATGAATTTTATCTCCTGCTATTACTATCCTCGTTTTGGTAGCATTTTCTATAGCATATTTTGTTGCCCCGTTACTACCACATATTCTTCCAATGCATCTGGAGAGGTGGTCCCCTTTTAATATCTTTACATCCTTCACTTGAAAGCTTTCTATATATAAATCGTCTATCCTTAATAGGGCTAAAGAATCTTCAATGGTGAATCCAAGTAGGTATGCTTTTATATAGTCTGAAGATTTCTGCAAATTATTTTTATCTTCTGTTAATTTACATGTCCTTACTTCGATCTTATCTCTATTCATTCTTATTTCTAACTTTAAATGTGTTACAATTGGTTTAATTAATTCCATCCAATTGGTTTTAACGGATGATATGCGATGCTTGGGGATGGTGAGTATTCTCATTTCGTTACTGTTCAATGTACTACTTGTGTTTTTTTTATTTTTAAAAATTATTTTATTTTTGACCTTTTTATTGTTGTCTCTATCTTTTTCCTCCAAAATATTTTCCATGGTTAAAATATTTCTTGTATTTCCATTATCGGGTTGTTCCTTGTGCTGGGAGTCTTCCATGCCATGGTCCACTTCTTCCTCCTGCATCCTTTCTGCTTGTACTTTTTCATTTTTCCTCTCCTTCAATGAGGAGCTCGACTTGTTCGGCATCCGTTTCGTCATTGTGGCCCTATCACGTTGGGGGGAATTATAAGTCCTTGAGAATTACCTTGTGGAGGACTGCTTTTAAACCTCTATATGCATACGGCTTTTTTATTTTTTACTTATACGTGTTATGCGGCCCCACTGTGTGCTCTGTTAATTTGGGCAACCAAAACACAGCATCTGGGGGTGGGGTAATTATACTAATGCAAGAGGACCTTGCAGAATTGTATTATGCAGGAACGGTCCACCGTTGTACTCAAAAAGAAAACAGGATGTCACAATTTCGAGTATTTGCAACTCGTGCAGATGTACACGTAAATGCATTCAAATATGAATCCACATTTTCACATGTAAACAAATAAAAAGGATGCATTCACTGCGGAGGATGGTTTAGAGAAAGCTCGCTTTTAATTCCAAACCAGCCGTTGTTCGCAAAAAAAAAAAAAAAAAAAAAATACCATGCACGGTACAAATAAATGCCATGCAGAATGAAGAAAAAAATAGTCTGCATGAAAAAAATGCTGCGGGGGAATTTTATTATTTTTGAGGAAGCAGCAGGGCGACGTACAAAAATTGTAACATTGCCTCATGTGCTTCAGCGGGGGCACGAGCCGTGCACAATAATTATTGCAAATGAGCGGGAAGGCTAACCCGTGTGGGGGCTGTCGTCTATTTGCGCACAATGAGAAAATGTAAAAAAATGTTAAGCGTATAACGTTTTTTTATTGTAACATTTTTATTTCATGTGGCACCTTAAAAATGGGGCGCGATGCCCAAAAGTTGTAATAAGGTTTACTCCTTTACAATTTAGCGACGCGCTTAGCAAATGTTCCTTTTTTTGTACTTACCAATTTTTTTTTTTTTTTTTTTTTGCGTGAAGGGAAATTTCCCTGCCCCTGGGCTGTAGTGTATAAGAAGCAGCAGCAATTTTGTAGTCCCCCTTTGAACAAAAAATCACGGGCAAGACACATAGGACAAAAAAAGGAAAATGACGACAAGTTAAGAGAGTGATAGGGAAAGTCATATACCCGAACCGAGCAAATGGCAAATCGGGTGATCAAGTCCGCATTACCTTAAAATAATGACCTGCGGCGAAATGTTAACCACAAAGGCGCACGTCGAACACCACACGTGCAAGAACAGTCTACCGTTAGAACTGAAGGGTGAAGCGCCTGTCTCCTTGGGGAACCAAAACCCTCAGGGAAAGAATCTCAAAGTGGAACTACCTCAGAGAGAAATTCAGGTGGTACATAAAATAAATGGCACTTTAACCGGATAAGCGGAACTTATATTCTAATTGTGGACCATATAAAGAGGTTGAATTGGTTGTTGGTCTTGTCATGTATATATATGGCAATGCGGAAAAAAGGGGTGGAAGGGAACAAAATAAAGCAGAACACTGCCTTTAACTAATTTCTCCAGACATTGAATTCACCCCTCAGTGGTAACATGCACCACAAATTGCTAAATACTAGGTCGATCTATCCTCCAAGTGGCGTTCAAAATGGGTTTTATAATGGTTTCTAAAAAAAGTCCAGTGGGACGGAAATTCCCTCCCAATCGGTTACATTTTGGTTGCAGGTCAGTTTCCATGTAAAACTGCCCAATTGCGCTGCTGCTAAGATATGGTGCTACATTTTGCGCGCTCGCGTCCCGTTTTGTAGCCTAAATTTTTTTTGGACCATATGGGCAGATTGGCAATTTTTTATGCCCCATTTTTTTTTTTTTTTTTTTTACAAGAAAAAAAAAAAATCACATGCGCGCCTAGAATAACGCATTAGGAAAGTTTAAAAAAAGGTTTATAAAAAAAAGGAGGCACGTTTTACAAGCATGCACTGCGTATCTTTTTAATTTGTACCCACCTCTGTAAAATACGGTAAACTACAATGGGTAGTAATATCAAATCTGAAGCTGCTCACATTTTTAGCAAAGGGTAGTTTTATCTCGGACGCACTCATTTTAGGCGTACATATTATAAATACATCTTAAGTACGTTGCAAACATTTTTGCATACAAGCAGAAACGAAAGGGAATGGAAACTTTGTTTTCCCCTTTTTGTAGCAGAGTGAAAGGTGGTTGATCTATTTCTTATTCAAGTTATTTTATTCCATTTGATCATTTTTGTACCATTTTTCTTTTTTTTTTTTTTTACGAAATACCTTTGCAAGCCAATTCTGGTGAATATCACAACGAAGGGCTGATTTCCACCCCCCCACGCCAGAATTGGAATGCTCCCCCTAGCTTGGAAAGCCCGCATGCATTCGCGTTTATGTGTTTGTGGGCACAAAATACGTGCAAAGGTGCTTGTACATATATGCACGCACGCACGTATGCATGCATGCGCACCTTTCCTTGCGTCCGTACTTAATTTAAGACGCCCCACAAAAGTGCTCATGGACAATCCTTTCCACAGGTCCAGGCGTAATCCTTGCTGCGCGCCTCCGCTGCTGCGCAGTTCCTATTTCTATTTAGGAGTATAGACGGACCTGCAAAAATACGTCGATCCGTTCTTTTCCCCCTTTTTTTTTTGTAATTTTTCCTGTGCGTGAAAAAATATTACGGACACGGGGTTAGAGAAAAAGAGAAAAGGAGATGCGCAGTTGGGGCGGGGGGTAGTGCGCGACGGGCCACTACTCTAACTAACCGTGTTGCTAAATCGGCACGTCGGCACAGCGCTCTATTTTGTTATACCGCAATATATACATACATATATATATAATTTGCCAAACGAAGCTCGAACCGTGTGGAGAAAAATGGAGCACCAGGAAGTGGAGCTACACAATCCAATCAGCTTTGACCAAAGTGTAAGCAGAGGCAAAACGACAGGAGTAGTTGACATAGAAGACACGGAGCAAAAATCCATTGCAGATATAGAAGAGCTAAGCGCATATGACATAGACAAGAAGGACGAGTTGGAGGAGGAGTCGTACTACAAGTTACTCTCCATCGCATATGCTCTAATAGCAATTATTTCAGATGCACCATATTTCCTAATCGTATCTATGGGTGATTATTTCAGACAGGCATTTAATGTGAAAGACATAATGATAGCAGAATTTGCCTTAATGGAAAGTATAGTATTTATTGTTGTGTGTGTATTATTGCACCTGATAGGAAGTTACAGACTAAAATGGAATCTGTTGCAGCCACTTTTTTCTACATTTTTTCTAACGTTAATATATTTAGTGGTGTATTTCAAAAGAGATTATATAGGACACAAGATAATTATTTTGAGCATTATTCCCTTTTCCATAATATCGTGTGTTATTAAAATGACTACAATGAAAATCTGTGTTCTTTTCAGAAAGCAGTACTGTACAGCGTACGTTTGTGGATTATCCCTCTCTGGATTTGTGGTCTTCATTTTGTACGTACTTGGGGCTTATGTCTTTTTCGCAGATGATCAGAATAAATTTTCTAAAATGTTTTCTCTTTTCTGTGGAGTTTTCTCTTGCATTGCGCTCACATCCTTTTTCATTCTTCAAAAAATTTACAAGCTTCCATTTGTTGAACGACTTCAAGAAAAGTATGAAGATAAAGGACTCCTGATTAACAAAATGATTCTCGTAGAAAGTGTGAAATCCGTTTCTGTTGTTTGGGAATACGTCATTATTGGCTTTTTAGCAAATTTTATAACATTTCAGATTTACCCTACAGTTTTTCCTATTTGTATTAATTCGAGCAAAGAAATGAAAGGACTGCTATCTGGTTTGCTTCTTTTTGGCGACTCAGCGGCACACCTGTTGGTTCACTTTTCGCATTCCTATTTTATGAAGATGAATTTCTACGCCTTTGTCCTTATCAAATTAGTCATGCTTGCATTTTTGCCTATATTTGCCATTTTAGTTCTTTACCACAGCTCCATTTTTTACAATTCGTATTTTCTAATGGCCTTGTCTTATACCTTTGGATTTTGTCACGGAATTGTGTCCAACTCTGTGTTTGTGAAAATACCTGAAGTATGCAAAAAGCGCAAGAAGGAGCAGTACCTGCAGTTGGCCCCCAACATCGTCTTCTTGGCCTTCGTGCTCGGTACCATGATTGGCGTCGTCGTGTCCAAGCTGCACGTCATCCTCTTGACCGGGCACTAAGGGGGTGGTGCATTTGTGTGGAAGAAGTTCATATGAAGTAGTCCAAAGATGCACGCCAAAAACTTGGGGGTATGAACCAGTACGAACCTCTCGGAAGACACACGACATCTCATCTCGTGGACCCCTTGCCCCTGATCATATGCGCAACGGGGTCGCAGCTCACCCCCCCCTTTTAACACCTACCCGTAACAATTTTGTTGAATATGTCATTTCTTTAATTAAATTTGCCATCTTTTAAAAACAATATGAATTCGTCACCCTTACACCCATTTCTATTGTTTTTTTTATCCTCATGACCGAAGTTTTTGTTTCCTCCTGATTTAGTCATAATGACTGTCTGGCGTGTACGTACGTACGTGCTTGTAACATTACGTGTTGTTTTTTTTTTTCATTCTTTTAAGCCGATTTTGTCTTCTTTTTTCGAAGTAGTTTTTTTTTTTTTTAAAAATTGCGCCCTCGTTTTCACAACAGGGCTTTTAAGTCTTTGTAAATTAAAAAGTGATTAGATTAATACACCAAAAAGAATTGCACACAAATAGGGGCAGGAAAAAAAAAACAAAAAATCGGTCACGGATGATAATATGTGCACAAAAAGGGGTTAAAGACACGGACACACAAATATAAGCGCCATGTCTTATTTTGCGGCGCCAAAAATATTTTTCCATTTTTTTTGACCAAGCTGGGAGATAACAACACGCTGTGCAGAGTCATCACCCAACCCCTAATGGACCAGGTGGAGATATGAGCACAGCTTCGCTCCGGGGGCGCACCCTCGAAAGGAATACGCGATCAACATTTTTAATACATCCTCGTAGAGCTCCCTTGAAAGGTCAATAGTTTCTGAATTAGCGAACTTCAATTCGGATTCTTCTTTTGTGCAAAAAAATATTTTCATCACTTTTTGGAGACCTAAAACAATGGAAAGATTTTTTGCCTTGTCCCAAATTTTACAAATATAAAGCGTCCTTATGAATATCCTGACTTCGATTATTTTTTTTTTTCCCTTACTCCTTAAATAAAAAAGTGTTGTGTTTTTTTTTTCACATTTATTGTGCATATACTCATTTAGGAAAAGTACGTGGTTGTAATTTTTGAAGATATTTTCCCCATTTAAGGTCATTTTTATTTTGTGCTTAAGGAGGTACACCTTGGGGCTGATCTCCCCGCAAGGGTTGAGATGTCCTCTACTGTCACCTTCTGTGAGATGAACGTTGCTCTCTTTTTCGTTGTCTTCTCTCCGCTCATGTAAATTTCCCTCGGAAAGGAATGTACTGTTCGCTTCCCTCCCTCGATGCTGCTTCTCCTCTGGGGCCACGTCTACATGATGGACAAAATTGGCTGTCTCTTCATTAACGTGTATAGGTGGAGCATCGCCACCGCGCAGCAACATAGTGGCCCTGTCCAGTGGTGTGTATTTGCCTTGGTCCCCCTCGTGAAGTGAACTTAGAAAAACATCTTTAAGCTTATCACTCATGTTTTTATTCTTGTGATGGGAATACGTGTGGTTCCTTTGATTTTCTAAATAGCCAAGAGAGTTGTAGCAAGAATTACAAAAAAGTAAAAAGCGAAAGTTGTGCAAGGAATCTGTCTTAACAGCTAGCTGACTCTCTTTTACTAAGCTAAAATGAAAAAACAAACAATTGGGGAAGAGGAATATATTGCGGTTAACATGGTTCAGCGCATCAAACGAGAAGGTAGTGCATTCTTCACAAAACGCATGCTCTACAAAATCAGTAGTGTTTAAGTACAGATTGGGCAAAATAAAATTAACATCTCCACATATGATAACGTCTTTACTACATGATCTGCACTGAAGGATACTTCTTTGCATCTTTAACATATTGTGTAATTCTTTATTTATGCTTGACTGGACAATGTTGCTTTTTTTTCGAACTACGATTAGGTCTAGCAGGACGCATATGGTGAGTCTTTCATTTAGCATAAAGTGCATGGATTTTATTTTGGCACTTTGTACTGACAAGGAGGAGGGCAAAAATAGGTACTTGGCCAAATGGGCCTGTTCAAACGTGGGAAAATTTTTCGAAAAAATATTTTTTTCCCTCAACAAGTGACCTGTATCGAAATGGTTCCCTGTAAAGTTTTTTCCCCTCCTTCGTTGTATGTTTTCTTTTGTATTATTATTTGTCTCATTGAACTGGTGCCCCCTTCGGTGTCCTACGCTGACCGGTGTGCACTTCTTGCCCCTTACAGCTTCATCCTCCTCTCCAGTATACAGTGGAGAGGGTCTACTACCGTTCACCCCACCCGTCCCATCATTTCTCTCAAAATTTGCTGCCTTTCTACTACTCGTCCTGACTTCGTTTTCCTCACTGCAAATCACACTGTTTTTACTTCCTCCCTTTGCATCACTGAATGTATTGCAGGAGTTGCCCTTTTCATGTGGGAGGGGTGAGTCACATGGGGTCTCAATTCCTCCTGAGGGATCACCCAGTGGTGAACTTGTTTGCCTACACGTGTCTCCCTCAACTGAAACGTCAGGACGATTGGAAGAACTGTCATATAGTAATTTCACTTTAATTTTATACAAATAGAAATTTCGAATTTCTTTTTTTTTTTTTATTATGATAGACGCCTTGGTGCAACTCAGGAGATTCTTTGTTGTTCGTAAGTCGGTAAGGAACGCTTTGGCCCAGCAGCTCAGTTCGAAGCTCAGGGACACTACGTTTTGCTTTGGGTAGTATTCCGCCTGCATCGTACTGCGCTGATAGGGTGGAGGGGCTACACGCAAATATACGTACGTACCGTCATTACGTGATGATAAGCACGATATTATGCTGTTGCTACTTTTATGCCTGCCGTCGGAGGATCTTCCTAACAGGGCAGAGCGGTAGTTGGGGTAATGTTCTGTGTAAGAATTATCCTTGCAGCTGGTACGTCCTTTTTTGTGGTACTCAACACTGGGAGGCGCAGTCAGGATTTATGTTCCTCCATTCAGCACTCCTCATTCTTCATTATTCACATTTCGTTTGGGGAGGGTTTCTACTCAGTTGTAAGTTTGCAATTTTGGCGATTCCCTCGATTAATCACTATCCCTAACTTTTCTTTCTTTTTTTTTTTTTTTTTTAAGTTACATGTGATATGGATATCCTTCCCCGTATAGCCATTTCGGTCGTTGTGCTTTCCCGATTTTTTTTATCACGTTGCATGCAGCCTGTTTTTTTTTTTTTTTTTTTTTTTTTTTCA